TAAGGTCCCATCATTTGAAGAATGCTATAATGACTTCTATTACTTTACTAAGTAATACAAATTACAAAAGACCCAACTCCAGAGCTCTGTCAGAAAGAGCGTGAACCTCAAGATAATGCTGGGCACACCAAACTGCACATCTATTTTGGATGTTATTTTTCAGAAGTTAGGATTATCATATAGTTATTATAATTATTCCCAAACCCATATATTCACACTTTTTAGTCAGAAATGTTTCTGAAGTTGAAGATATTTTGGTAAAGCCACAACATTAAAAAGCAGCCTGGCTGGCATGGCTCAGTGGTCGAGCATCGACCTATGAACCAGGTTCAGTTCTGGTCAGGGCTTATGCCGGGGTTGTGGGCGTTCTGCTCAATCCCCACTACGGGGCATGCAGGAGGCAGCCAATCAATGATTCTCTCTCATCATTGATGTTTCTATCTCTCTCTTTCCCTATCCCTTCCTCTCTGAAATCAATTAAAACAATACATTTTTTAAAAATGTAATGTTTTTAAAGAAACATTCTAAACATTGGCTAAATGTTTTAATAACTTCAAACATAATGAAATATCTTTGACTGTTGAAAGTTGTGTTGGAAAATGGGGCATGGCGGGGCCTATCTTGCATAGTTGGAAGAAATGGCTTTTTCCCCCTCTATTTTTGGAATTGTCAACATAAACTGCTATCACTAAGCCAAGCTATTTATAAAATGTATATTTTTAGAGTTATTCTCCATTTCTAAATTTGGACTTCTAGTTTACTGAAGTAATCTTCCTTTGGTTATGGGGTGGAGAGGACCTTCATTTATGTGCCTTGTACTATTCAAAAATGGACATACTGTTACATAGCTTAGAATTTGCTAAAGACAAATTTGATTTAAGAAAGTAAAGTTGACATTGTATTTTTCAAATTTTCTGGCAATGGAATCATAACTTTTTCACCTAGCATTACTTTGAGATTCAATCATGTTGTATTTATAGTTCATTCATTTTTATTACTAACTAGCATTCCATTATAGGGATATACTACAATTATTTTATCCATTCACCTATTGACAGACATTTGGGTTGTTCTGAATTATGTGACTTTGTGTAGATATATGCTTTCACTTATCTTAGATACCCAAAGAACTTAATAACTTAGACACGTTCTAAATGTTCCTAGACTACTGACTATTTCTACTGCTTTTCTTATTTTCTAAATGATATGAACCAAAACATCCATTCTATAAAGGGTCAAAATACTATAACTAACAGTTATACTATCTTAAAGTGTCTTTTGACCATATGGGAAATAAGTGAAACAAGGGCAGTATGAAAAAGGTCAGTGGCTTATGGCTAGGTCCTGAGTCCATAAAAGTCGACTATGTAAAGCAGGCAAACGTGCTTTCCTTTATCAACCATCCTGGAAAGTTCCCTCCAGACCCAGCTGGAACCATTGGTTTTACTTACTAGTAGAGCAGATAGCTCTGACTAAATGCGTCCCAGATTAGCGAAAATTTACAAGCTCAATGGGAAAAGCCACCACATTTTTGTATTATTACAGAATAAAATGAGCTAAAAATACTTGCTTCGCTTAGAAAAAGTCAAATACTACTCCAGAAAAGCTATTTGACCTTTGAAATACAGAAGCATGATTAGATTTTGGCCAAATTTCCTATCAACTTGCTTACTTCTCCATTTTTGAGTCTGTCAAACTATTTTTTCTAACTACCTTGGGGAAAAGAGAAGCTTAGCAAACATATTTTTAGCTCAATATT